CAAGAAAGTGATTGCTTTTGTAAATTTTCCATGAGCATGTGAATTAAAAACAATTCTCTATTCAAGGACAGTAAGATTCAGTGTATACCAATTAAATCACACTTACTGGTTTTATTATTTAATTTGTAAATTTTATTTATTTGTTTATTTATTTACTTACTTACTTACTTATTTTATGGAATATCTTTCTCTGTCTTTTAAATCTGTTAAATCTGTCCAAATCATAGAGGCAGATTAAAATATCTCACTGAATTTATAATAACCCTTTAGTTTTTGCTTTCTTAGGCCTGTATAGTTTGGTACCTGTGAATAACAGAATGTCCTCCTGCTTTTTGCTTTGTGCTATTGATTTTAAAGTTGACATTCTCCCAGATTGCCATTCTAGCTTTCATTTTTGTTGGCATTTGTACAATATTTATTTGTTGTCCACGCTGAGCTATCTATTATGATGTATTTGCTATTTTGTGTCAGTTCTTCCCCAAGAGTTCTTTCAGATTGAGAGTAAGACTGATATATTTTCCAAATGACTGCATATTCACATCATCCTCTTTTATTTTGAGAAATGATTGACATTTCTAGTGTATTATCTCAAGATGTAATTCCAGTCTCTTCGAAAGAAGTCCCTTTGATCTGTGGTCTTAGCATGTTTGTGTCATTTTATATTTACTTCTCCACTTGCTTCTTCATTGCCAAAAACATGTAATATTATTTTTTTTTTAATTTATAACTAAGAAATTTAGGTATAAATTTCTTGGGGGGAGGGTCCATTAATTTTCTTTCTTTTCCTTCTGGAATTCCTGTTATTCTCATAGATTTATCTTGGGCTTACATTTCTGGTCTCTGATCTTCTGTCCATGATCTCCAAATCTACAATTTTTCTCTTTGCTCATATATACTTCTTAGGCTTGGTTTTCCAGGTTTTTTATTTGGTATTCAATGGTAGCCATCTGTTTCAACTCATCTAAACGTATTTTAGATTTAGCTCTAGAGAATCTTTTTTGTGCAGCTGTTGGATCTTTTCTCATAGCTGTCATCTGTGGCTGTTTTTCCTTTTTCCAACTGTGGAGACCTCCTAAACATGTGGTATTTCACTTTTCTTATCCCCTGCAACTCAAATCTGGTTTATTGGAGCACCCCAAATGTTGGCCATGCTTACATTGGAACAATGGCCCATCCTTCCACGGCCACTAGTGCAGGAGCAGGCAGTCTGTAAGCCAACCTGTGGAATGTCTGGCTGAGGCCTCCTTCCTCTTCATCTGTCCTCAAGTCCCTGACATTCAGGAAGGGCTGTATCTTCACCCTGAGGAGGCCAGGGTGACTAGGTATGCTCAGGCAGAGCCCTCGCTGACCTCCTCCCCAGGGGTCTCCATATCAATCCCAGGACTCACTGCTCTGTGTTCTTGATTACTGAGGTCCCAGTGTTGATGACAGCCAGATTATTTTCCCGTCAACAGAGGAGAGAACTCATGCCAGTTTCCCACAGAGCCTAAAGCCCCACCAGACATCATTCAGAAAGGCAGGGACTGCTGCCATTCACCGTGGGAGAGCTGCCCCACCAAGTCCTAGAGGTAATGGAGGAAAAAGGGAGGCATGTTTAGGTGGTATCTTCCTGGAATCCTTCCCTCAGTGTCTTCCCTGATTGTCTCTGTGAATACCTTATGGGTTTGTTTGTTTTAAACTTCTTACTCCTCTGTCCTTGATGGACATTGTTTTTCATTGTCTTCATATACTTCCAAGATGTTAAAATACTAGTTTAATCTTCAAACTTCTCTGCTAAGTACTTAAAAATCACCATCCATTTTACATTTCCACTCTTCACATATGTAGTTAAAAATTGTTAGATGAAACTATTAGATTTCAAAAAGAGCCTTCTGAATTAAATTCCTCTCCTGAACAAATTTCCAGCCGGCATTAGCTATTATTCCATTGGGGGTCCTATCATGTGTGGGCTGGGTGCTACCACATGACGATGTTCTATGGACACACTACTCAATACCGACCATTCCCATGTACGTCTGGGCCAAGGTCCAACTCAGAGGACCGTTTGTGATGACAATGTGGGTAAACAAATGTGACTGAGTATCCATCATTTTCTAAGATTATTTCTGAGTGCCCCTAAGGCAATGGGCTTGTGTGAGGAGAGGAGGAGCCTCAGGGAATGAGACCTCTGCTGAGTAGTTGATCAGAACGTGCTTTCTCCATAAGTGCTGAGAAAACAGGGTGGGTGAGTCCGTTCAGCAGGTACATGGTTTTGGGGCTCTGGACTCCAGTAGGGAAGTATCTCTATTCAGGGGAGCAGCTGTCCCTGAGGGTTCTCTCTGGTGGGCTGTGCTGTTGCCATTGAAGCTGGTGCAGCCTGTAGACAGTTATGATCCTTAATAATTTTTTTTATCATCTTAGCTCTTTTCAGTAACATTTTTTTTATTATTGAAAACACACATGCAGAAACCAACCAATTTTAGTATAAAATATTTTTGTCATCTGGTTCCTCTTTGTTAGGTAATGTTGCTTGTGTTACCTTTTCTTTTTCTGTAAATGTTATACTTAAACTGAACATATTTAAGTGGCTATATTTGAATTTTGGTTTTGTTTTTTAAATTTTTGTATTTTGTGTTTTAGAATTACAACTGTATCACTTGTAAATAAGTTAGACCTGATGGAGGCAGCATGGCCCACTGCTATCATGGGCAGATGGCCCGAGTGTGGTCAAGGTCTGTTGATCTGACCACTTTTCTCAGTTTCAGCTTTACTAGGTGACAGCCAAGTCCCTAAATATTCTTTGAGTGTGTTGCTATTTCAGTATTTCATAATTTTTCTCTAGGCCTTCATCTAACATAGTGATTTTCAGCCAGTATGTCACAAGAATTTTTAAAAGATGCAATACCCAACTACTTAGTCAGGCACACTGACCTCTTTTCCCTTAGATTGTCAAATAAAAAAATGACCACAGCCAAAATAACAATAGCCACCTTGTGGGAATGAATCAAAATTATACCTATTTTTTTGTCAGATTGTCAAAAAATATAATCTATATTTTGGTGTGCCACAGAATTTTAGTAATTAGTTTTTGTGTGCCATGAGATGAAGAGGTTGAAAAGCGCTGGACAGAATGAGAGAAGTGATGTACCTCACCTCAGGGGCAAGCTGACGACACCAGAAGAGCTGAAACCTACTCTCCTACTTGTCCTCATACATTTCTTTTGTCTGTACTGTTATCTCATGCTGCCCGGTTTTAAGATGTAATTAAACAACAAAAATAGTGGACAGAGACATTCTCTTTAAAAATGATTGCTTTTCAGTAGAATAAACTATGTGCTTTAATAGCTTTAATTTCATAAAAATTAACTTGATTTGGGGAAATCCATGTTGCTTACTGTTGAAGATGTGCTGCTACCTAGACTAGCTGGAGAGAAACCCATGTGTGTCACCATGGATACAGCAGAGCCCCTTTCCCATTTCCCTGTGGGAACGGGTCTTAAAATGAAGAATTCAAGTTGCAAAGTATTTAAAGAGGACTCAGTGAACTAAATAAATTAAAGGTAGAAAAACTCATTAAGAGTGAATGCATGTGGAGCCCCTGAGGGTGGAGCTGAGCAGATCCCAGTTCATCTAGAAGGAGAGTGGCAGTGTGGACTTGGGCTGCATGGCAGGGGCACAGCTGCTGGCACTCTGCGCCCGTAGAATCCCCTGTCTGCCAGCAGCTCCCCTTCCTTCCCAGAAGCCTTCACCAGCAGTCCTGCTTCTCATAGGCCGTTTACCACCTCCTTGTTGGTGAGGGGCACTCCCCTTGACTCTCAGAAGCTTGTTATGTGGGAGGCCTCTGGGTGGGACCATCAGGCTGGTAAGAGAGGCGCCTCCATGGCAGAGAGGAGACCAAAAGCATTTTAGGATAATTTTTCTGTAGCAACAGGGGAATTTTAAAAAGCTTATTTGGGTTTATTTCATTTTTGTTATTTTAAAGTTTCATGACCTGGAATATTCTTTTAATGGCAATAGCATATTTTCTGAATACACAGATGCATCCAGACTTCACTTGATTGCAATTAGTTGACATTTCTGTTCTCCCAACAGCAGCAGGCAAGATTAATTAAGTGGAAGCAACTGGGCTTAATTCAGGGCTTTGCAAGTGCTGGCTTACTGCTGCTAGAGCTTTTCCTAAGAAACGAGTAACCTACAGGGGTGGGTTACACGGTTGTTATCAGAGAATAAGGAGTTCAATCTTTTAATAAAATATGGCAGAAGAGACATTCTATGGAGAAAATCTGAAGCATGGATTAAAATGTTCTGCTGGGAAGGCCATGAGTTTATGAGGAGCCAGGAAGGGCGGAAGGTAATGAAATTGAAAGCACTCATGTAGATCATCAGCACGCTTTGATGTGGGTGCTACAGAAATGAAATAACAGAGATAAACCTATGTGAATCCACCCCTGGCAGGAACAAAATCATATTCTGAAAAGAGAAGCTGCACTATTAACAGCAGGTCAGAGGATGAGAAAAGGCCCTGAGAGTTCAGCATATGAATGCAAAGTGAGCAGAACGAAACGTGTTCTGCTAACTGCTTGATTGTTTTTGCATTATTTTATTCTGCATGCAGGATGCTTACAAAACATCAGTGCGACTTATTTTTGTGTTGAAGTAAACATTTTTGTTTTTTGTATTTTTATTGTATTTCTTTATCCTCACTCAAGTATATGTTTATTGATTTTTAAATTTTATTTTAGAGAGAGAGAAGGGATAGAGAGAGAGAGAGAAAGAGAGAGAGAGAAACATCGATGTGATAAAGAAACATCGATGGCTTGCCTGCCTCCCATATGCATCTTCACCAAGAATCAAACCCAAAACCTTTTGGTGTATGAGACTACGCTCCAACCAACTGAGCCACCTGGCCAGGGCAATGTAAACATTTTTAACTGCAAAAGACACACATGTAGAAACTCTAATAAATAGTGAAAAAGAAAAAGTGTATCCATTAGCCATGCTTCCACCCAGAGATGTCTACCATGGCCACTTTTCTGTCCTTCATATTAGACAACCTTCTGCACACACAGAAAGCAGGAACAAATCATTGCAGGACAACTTTGATGTTCTTTGCGGTAAGTAGAGTGTGTTACAGTGGTTCAGCTTACCTGACATCAGGCTGTTTTATACATAACCAGAGCTAACTCCACTCTGGGAGGTCTGCATAAAACTCCAATTACACTTGTGGGTCTTGGGTGAAATTCACATTTAAAAGATTAACCATTTAAAAGTATACAGCCAATGTGTGTGAATACCACTTACTTCTATTAAATTCCAAAGTACTTTCATCTCTCCAAAAGAAAACCTGCACCCAGTGTGTAGGCACTCTCCACTCCACCTCTGTCCCAGCCCTTGTTAACCTTCAACCTTTCATCTCTATGGATTTGCCTGTCCTGGATATGTCATATACATGGAATTGCATAGTATATGCACTTTCATGTCTGTTTGACCTCATATTCCACGTTCTTTCTTTAACAACAAACTGCTCAGGACATTTCTTGCTCACAAACTTTTTAAAAAGTGTATTGCTTTTTAAAAATAATTAGTAACTCAAATAATAATTATCAAATATAGGTTAATAAATAGAGAATAATGGTGCAAGCAATACCTGTGTTCCCAGGTCTTAGTTCAAGAACATGGCAGCATGCACACATACACACAGGTCATCTCTGAACTTCTGAAACCTCCTCTGACCTGCCCCATCTCACCCACACAAGCTTCTCCTTAATGCAAATCTATTCACTTTTGTGTCCCAAACCAGGTATTATTTACTTTTGCATATTTGAGATTTGAAATTTCTAAATGGAATCATTTTGTGTGAGATTCATCTACATTGTGTTTGTCTCTACACTTCAGTTCTTTTCACTGATGAATAATATCCCATTAAATGATTTTTACCAAAACATATTTAACGATTTGTTGGTAGTGGGCATTTGGGTTACTTCTAGCCGTGTTGCTATTATGAATGTTGCTATGATGAATGTATGTAGTTTTCACATAATGGGTATTTTTGCTTTATGAAAATACTTTTTAAAATTTAAGTGAATAGTAACATGTTTTACATCTCTTTGTTTTTTACTCTTTTTGTTCACAAAGTACTGTATTTTTAAGACCCATCCATGTAGTTATGTGTACACACATCTGCTGGTTCTAGTTTATATGATACTCTCAGGTGCCACCATATTTTACCTATCTGGCCTCTTAGAAATGGGTGGACACCTCCAACTCCTCACCCACAAATAATGCTGGTGCAAGCACCCACGTACATTTTTCCTTAGGGCCTGTGTCAGAATTTCTTCAGATAAACATCCAGGAGAGGAATTGTTTAGTTCTAGGGTTGAGACATATTTAGTTTGACTAAGAAGTGCCAGATTGCTTTCCAGAATGGCTTTCCCAGCCACTGTATTACCCACTGTGCATGGACTTCCACAGCTCCACATCCTGACACTGGCCATTGCCAACCTTTTTCTGTTCAGTAGGTCTGGAGGCATAGTGTGGCATCATGTTATCTTAATCAGCTCTGTTTACTAAAGCTTTTGAACATTTCTTCATTGTCTTTCAGTTTTATTTTCTATAAATTATCTCTTTATATTCTTTGCATGTATATATGTATATATAAAATTATAAAATATACTAGAGGCTTGGTGCATGAATTTGTGCATGGGTGGGGTCCTTTGGCCGGGCTGGTGATTGGGGCCCCGGGAGGTTGGCCGGCCTGGGGGAGGGGCCACAGGAGGTTGGCTGTGGGAGCACAATGACCACCAGGGGGCAGCTCATGCATTGAGCGTCTCCCCCCCCGCCCCGTAGTCAGTGTGTGTCATAGTGACTGGTCAACTGGTCATTCAGTCGTTCCATAGCTTAGGCTTTAATATATATAGATATGTGTGTGTAAAATATATATACATATATATTTCCTTTTAGAGGTTGCTGTGTTTTTTTTTTCTGTTTATTTGCAGAAATTTCTTTGGAAACTATAATCTAGATATTTTTTTATGGGGTTGGTCATTGGTAATATGTCCTCTCATATTGGTATTTACCTATTACATTTCTTCATTGTTCTCCATTTTGAGGTAATAAAATATATCAAAATTTTTATTTTTCAAGTTATTTATTTTATGTTTTAAAGAAATCCTTTCCTGACCCTGAGTCATATAATAATCTGATATAATTTTTAAAAATTTTGGTATGGTATTCTGGATGATTTCTTTAGATTAGTCTTCCAGTTCATAATTCTCTCTTCAGTTTTATTCAGTTGATGATAAATCTGTTGGTTGAGTTTTTAATTTCAATTAGCATATGTTTATATCTGGAAATTCAATTTAGTCCTTTTAAATCCACTTGACCACTTTAAAGTCTCTTATTATATGTTCCCATTTAATTGGATATAGTAACTATAACTTATTTTTGTTCCATGTCTAATATTTTCATACTAAAAATTTTTTGTCTATTAATTTCTTTGTCTTTTTTTTTCCTGCCTGCACCTATTTATATTTCTTAGCACTCTTAGCCTGTGTGATAAGAGACCTTTGTAACTTTATCTGTATACATTCTTTGAGACTTGGGTTGAGTGCCAAATGCCTGGGTTCACTCAAGCCCTGGGCAACTTTTACCAAATAACCTGCTGCTCATTTTGTGTTGTTCCCAAGTAACGTAAATTAGACTGCAAAGTCCATTAAGATCAGTCTGAGCTCTAGTTTCTCACAACAGACTGCTTGTCTTCCTCCACTCAGAACCAAGGTTCCTCATACCTCTGGACTCAGGAGAAATGTACAAACAATTTGTTCTTATTCTCAGAGCCCTAATTTTAGGTAAACAGTTGTCTTTGTAGGCTCTTCCTCTTGGTGTTGGGGAAACGGGTACTGTCACCAGCACCTTGGACACCTGTCCTCAGGCTCACTAGATTCACCTCAGGGTGGTGCTGATCCTGTGCTCCACTTCTAGTCCTGAAATCCTGGTCGCAACTACTGTTTATCTCAGATTGTGCCTTTCTAACTTGCTATTTTTATAAATTTAAAAAAGAGTATTAAATATTTACTCCTTATTTTACTTATATTTAACAACAGGATTAGTTAGGGACCTCATCTATATTCACTTATATAAGTTACCAACTAACCTAAGAATCTCAATGACAAGGCAGCACCCTGCCTCTCTTGACTTTTCCCTATTAACAGTTGATATGAACGTTCATGTCAACATGATTGATTCACCTGGCTTTCTTCAATGTTTTTTCTCTGTCACTCCAGTGGGCTCTTTGTCTCATGTTGTCATTCTGATTTTGATTCTACTCAACCCTACAGACAATATATGTGCATCAGTCAGTACCTCCAATACAACTGTATAAAGCTTCCTTGATCTTTGGCCTGACCAAGCCCTCTGTGTTCCACTAATCCTTCTCTACCAACCATAGCCACACTGAACTTGAAGCTCTGGAAACCACCATACCAGGGATTCAAAGTATTCAACACATCACCCAGTTTTCCCATCAGATTATAACCTGCCTGATAACCACCATTAACAGCTGGCTTTATCTGTAGATTCCCAGCTACATCCTTGATCTCCAGCATCTCTGGTTCAATAAATAACGGGAGTAGTCCCTAGCTGTTGAAAATATTTCTAATGTAAAACAATACTCTCTTTGACTTGAATTAACATGCTCTTTTCATTTCATTTCACGAGGAGATCACAGATTTCCTTAAGGCCTCTGCACACAGCAATAATAACTCACTTGTCCTTGATGTGTACTACCTCTTTTTTGGGTATTGCCAACCTGATTATAAGTTCATGAATTTCTTCAGTAACTAAAAATAATCAAGCCTCTTAATTCCCAGAAGGTTAACTGGAAAATTAGTCTTCAAGTTGAAAATTCAATTATATACATAAAACCTACCTAGCCTCCTAATTAATAAGCACTTTAGTCAGCTGAAGCTAGTCTTAAATTTAATAATTTTATTAGTATCCTAAAATGGCAGCATCAAAGATTAACTGTGTTAATAATTAGAAAATTGAGCATTAACTTGTTTCAATAGAGTTGCCTTCATATTATTATAATTCACTTTATTTTAGCAAAGCAGTGCATGTGCAAATGGAAAATGATTCGTTTGTGGCCCAATGAAAAAGAATGTAAAGTTTTTGTTGAAACACAGAAATCACACTATTTTTGATCAACCTTGAAGTAGTAATAGCTAACATTGCAGAAACATCAATCATTTCTTGTTACAGCTTTTTTATCAGCTTATATAAAAGATATATTGGGTGGTAGGCACCCAATGCAAATATACAGATCACATATCATAGAAATGTACACTTGAAACCTATATGATCCTATTAACCAATGTCTCCCCAATAAGTTTAATTTTAAAAAAACATATATAAAGCCATCAGAATTCAAGAAAAATTATGAAGGATAAGGGAAGTGTGTCTTTCCTGTAAGAAGAGCTCTGTGCACAGGAATGGGTCTGTCCTCCATAGTCAGCTAGTTCAACCATCGACTTGGCAGCCTCAGTGTCCATGTAGCCATTTCTTCTGAGTTGGTGCAAATGCAGCTCACCCTGCTGAGCTCTGTCTTCCTCCAGGACACACCTACTCAACATGGGTCCTCCTGTGTTCTCTTCACCCTACTTTCTCATTCCTTTCTATTAGAATAACAATGGTGAAGTGATAGATGGGGTGCTGGAATATCTGGGACAAAGATTCTTTGTAGGACATTCCTGGGTTTGGTCTTGACCAATTTGCATGGTCACTGTGAGTCAATATTTGAAGGTGTATGCTTCCCAGATGACTTGTACTTCAGGTTAAGCTATCTGTCATTTGGATATTATCATTTAGGATTCACACTGAGGTGAGTCATTTGGCAGAAGCAGCAGAAACACAGGAGTAAGGAATGTAAAGACCCAAGGTCAATTTAAATATCAACTAACATTCTGCGTAGACAGAGTGGAAATAGAGCTTGTTGTCATGTGACATCAGGAACATGTATCTATAATTGAATCAGTCACTCTGTGAAGGAGAGGGCTGTGTGGACAAAGCAGTGTCTGAAAGTCCAGAGAGAGTTTAAGACATAGTAGGGGAAGTGGGT